ACCGTAAATGCAAAAATTAACGAATTTAAAACGAAATAACGAAATAACGAATTAAAACCGACAGGCCTATTAAATAGGAATATTTAAAGTGAAAGTAAAAGTTGAAAATGCAGTGACTCTGGACTGTTTACGGACAATGGCTATGTCTGTGTGATATGTGATTTTATGTGCTGTGTTTAATAAATATTTCATGTTTTATCAGGGGAGGGTCATTTTTGATATTTTATACTGTTATATTACTGTAATAACCAGGCCTTAGTGTTAGTGGGCCTTGGTTTGAGAAGGCCTGGTGTCATAAGCTTCGGCGAGAGAAGCCCCAGGTTGAAGGCCATCATGTGTGAAGGCTGCTGTGTGTAAAAAATACTGTGTGAAGCTCCTGTGTAACTTTGGTGTGAGAGAAGGCTGTGTAACTTTGGTGTGAGAGAAGGCTCTGTGAGAGCGAAGCTGTTTATCTGCATGAGGAAGGAGCCCAGTGTGGAAGCAAAGTAGGATGGCGAGAGAGCGAGGTAGGCGAGGCGGGCTTTGCACGAGGCCAGGCCTCATGCGAAGGAGCCCCCGCCTGGCCCGTGCTCTTGGGGCGGGGCCAACGGAGCCGGCCTCGCAACCCCTCCGAAATGGCCAGCCAACCCCCAGGTTGAGAACCACTGCTATAAACTCTAGCGCCCCTCTTCCAAAGTTTCGGATTCTTTGGAGCAAATGCCAAGGCCTCAGTCTGGGACAGCCCTCAGTGTGAGAAGACCTCAGTGTGAAGTATAGGAATATTTAAAGTGAAAGTTGAAAGTGCAATGACTCAGGACTGTTTATGGACAATGGTTAGGTCTTTGTGTGGTATGTGATTTCATGTGCTGTGTTTAATAAATATTTCATGTTTTATCAGGGGAGGGTCCATTTTGATGTTTTATACTGTTATAGCTTAGTAGCCGTCAGTCTGAGAGAGCCCTCAGTGTTAGTAGACCTCTTGGTTAGAGCCTCTTGGAAATTGGCCCCTCTCCAGGCCTCAAATTATTTCCACTATCGCTTCTCATCATACTTTCTCATCCCCAAAAATTATACTCCCCCCCCCCCCCCCCCCGGCCTCCTTTAACTCCAACTTCACCGAGTCTCTTTGTCTTGCTGAGTGCAAAAGGACAAGAAGAAGAACCTGGAGAGAGGAGATTATATAAACGCTTTGCTCCGAAAAAGGAAGGAAGAAAACCTTGATTGAGCAGTCATGGAAGGCAATTATGTAATGGCTTTTTAGTGGGGCACAAAAGCCTTTGATGTGTAAGGAAATGTCTGAAAGCACTGATGGGTTTTGACGGTTTGGTGCACGAACGTGTCCCGGGGAAGAGGAGAAAAAGAAAAACCTGATATTCCTTTTCCGGATGTTGGAAACTAATTAAAATCTATTTGTACGCTAAAGAGTCGCTCTTCCTCCAGGGAGTGAATGAAGCTTTTGGAAATCATTGGACACGACTTCCCCACTTGTCACGGGCGGATACGACTGGGTTTCTGAAATGTGATGCGCTTCCAGCCAAAGATACGAGTCCTCTGTGCTTTCAGCACCACGATATAACCATATAATGAAATGCAAAGATACAGAATGGGGGACAATGCCTGGCTCGAGAGCAGGACGTGTGAAAAAGATCTTGGGGTCCTCGTGGACAACAAGTTAAACATGAGCCAAAAATGTGATGTGGCGGCAAAAAAAGCCAATGGGATTTTGGCCTCTATAGTGTCTAGAAACAGGGAAGTCCTGCTTCCCATGCTCTATTCCGCCTTGGTTAGACCACACCTGGAATATTGTGTCCAATTCTGGGCACCACAATTCAAGAGAGATATTGACAAGCTGGAATGTGTCCAGAGGAGGGCGACTCAAATGATCAAGGGTCTGGAGAACAAGCCCTATGAGGAGCGGCTTAAAGAGCTGGGCACGTTTAGCCTGAAGAAGTGAAGACTGAGAGAAGACATGATAGCCATGTATAAATACATGAGAGGAAGTCATAGGCAAGAGGAAGCAAGCTTGTTTTCTGCTGCCCTGGAGACTAGGACACAGAACAATGGCTTCAAACTACAAGAAAGGAGATTCCATCTGAACATGAGGAAAAACTTCCTGACTGTGAGAGCTGTTCAGCATTGGAACTATCTGGCCCGGAGTGCGGTGGAGGCTCCTTCTTTGGAAGCTTTTGAACAGAGGCTGGATGGCCATCTGTCAGGGGTGATTTGAGTGCAATATTCCTGCTTCTTGGCAGAATGGGGTTGGACTGGATGGCCCATGAGGTCTCTTCCAAACTCTTTGATTCTATGAGGCAGGTGTAAATGTTGCAATTTTCCAGCTTGATTAGCACTGAATGGCCTTGCAGCTTCAAAGCCTGGCTGCTTCATGCCTTTGTTGGGAGGTGTTAGGTAGTCCTGATAGTTTACATTAAGATACTAGCTGTACCCGCCACGTGTTGCTGTGACCAACCTTCCCTCCTTCTTTCTCTCCTCCTTTCTTTCTCTCCTTCCTTCTCTCTTTCCTTCCTTCCTTCCTTCCTTCCTTCCTTCCTTCCTTCCTTCCTTCCTTCCCTTTTAGTCCTTCTTTCTCTCCTTCCTTCCATCTCTTCCTCTTCCCTTTCTCCCCCCCTTCCTCCTCCCCATTCTTCTTTCTCTACCTATTCTTGGACTGCAACTCCCAGTAGTCCTCCTGATCGATCTACCTACCTACCTACCTACCTACCTACCTACCTACTTATCTACATCTAATCTATCTATGTGGAGGATTGCTGGGAGTTGCAGTCCTGGAATAGGAAATTGGAAATATGCAGGGATTGGGATGCTGTCAATGAAATCCAAGGAGAAGAAATCTTGCAAATTGGAAGCAGTGCATTTGGATCATCCTCCTCTCCTAAAAGGCCTGGTCTAGGGGATGCTGGGAGCTGTAGTGTTGACATGCTATTTTGTTTGCCAAGGGGAGTCGATTTTGTGCAAGTGCTGTAGCATCTTTTTGATTTTTTGGCTTTTTAAGTCCCTTCCACTGTGTTTTTCAGTGTTTTTATGAGTGATGGTCACTCGTTGGCCTGATAGGTGTATTGTGTCCAAATTTGGTGTCAATTCGTCCAGTGGTTTTTGAGTTATGTTAATCCCACAAACAAACATTACATTTTTATTTATATAGACTAGCTGTACCCGCCACGCGTTGCTGTGGCCAACCTTCCCTCCCTCTTTCTCTCCTTCCTTCCCTCTTTCCTTCCTTTCCTCTTTTTCTTTCCCTATCTCTCATCTTTCTTCCATCTCTACCTGTTTCTTTCCTCCCTTTCTTTGCTCTTTGGTACATCCTTCCTTCCTTCCTTCCTTCCTTCCTTCCTTCCTTCCTTCCTTCCTTCTCCTCTTCCCTTCCTTATTTTTCCTTCCTCCTTCTCTTTTGTCTTCACTTTTTTATTTCCTTCTCTCCTTTCTTGCTTCTCTATCTTTCTTTCTTTCTTCTTTCCCTCCCTGCTTCTCTCCTTCCTTCCTTCCCTTTTTCCCTCCTTCTCTCGTTACTTCTTGACTGTCCCTTCCATTTAATATTGTATTTATATCTTAGAAAGAAGGAAAGGAAGAAGGAAGGAAGGAGGGACAGGAAGGAAGGAAAAGAAAGAAGGAGGGACAGGAAGGGAGGGAGGAAGGAAGGAGGAAGGAAGGAGGGAAAGAAAGGAGGGGGATGAAGAAAGGAGGGAGGGAAGGAAATGAAGGGGAAGGAAATGAAGAAAGGGAAAGAAGGAGGAAAGGGAGGGAGGGAGGAAGGAAAAGAAGGAAAGGAAGAAGGAAGGAGGGACAGGAAGGAAGGAAAAAGGAAGGGAGGGAGGGAAAGAAGGGAAGGAAGGAAAAAAGGAGGGACAGGAAGGGAGGGAGGAAGGGAGGAAGGAGGAAGGAAGGAGGGAAAGAAAGGAGGGGGATGAAGAAAGGAGGGAGGGAAGGAAATGAAGGGGAAGGAAATGAAGAAAGGGAAAGAAGGAGGAAAGGGAGGGAGGGAGGAAAAGAAGGAAAAGAAGAAGGAAGGAGGGACAGGAAGGAAGGAAAAAGGGAGGGAGGGAGGGAAAGAAGGGAAGGAAGGAAAAAAAGAAGAGGGACAGGAAGGGAGGGAGGGAGGGAGGAAGGGAGGGAGGGAGGAAGAAGGAAGGAGGAAGGAAGGAGGGAAAGAAAGGAGGGGGGTGAAGAAAGGAGGGAGGGAAGGAAATGAAGGGGAAGGAAATGAAGAAAGGGAAAGAAGGAGGAAAGGGAGGGAGGAAAAGAAGGAAAGGAGGAAGGAAGGAGGGACAGGAAGGAAGGAAAAAGGGAGGGAGGGAAAGAAGGGAAGGAAGGAAAAAAAGAAGGAGGGACAGGAAGGGAGGGAGGAAGGAGAAGGAAGGAATGAGGAAGGAAGGAGGGAAAGAAAGGAGGGGGGTGAAGAAAGGAGGGAGGGAAGGAAATGAAGGGGAAGGGGGGACAGGAAGGAAGGAAAAAGGGAGGGAGGGAAAGAAGGGAAGGAAGGAAAAAAGAAGGAGGGACAGGAAGGGAGGGAGGAAGGAGAAGGAAGGAATGAGGAAGGAAGGAGGGAATGAAAGGAGGGGGGTGAAGAAAGGAGGGAGGGAAGGAAATGAAGGGGAAGGAAATAAAGAGAGGGAAAGAAGGAGGAAAGGGAGGGAGGGAGGGAGGAAAAGAAGGAAAGGAAGAAGGAAGAAGGGACAGGAAGGAAGGGAAGGAGGGAAAGAAGGAAAGGAAGGAGAAGGAAGGAAGAAAAGGAAAGGAAGGAAGGAAAGGGAGAAGAAGAGAAGGGAGGGAGAGAAGGAAGGTCTTTCATTCAAGCACCATGGACCTTCCTCGCCTCCTCCTCCTCCCCCTCCTCCCCCCCCTGCGAGGAGGGGGGCGTGGCCATGGGTCTCGGTAGACATGCAGTTTCTCCTTTGTGGACATGCAGTTTAGAAGTCCTTTCTGCTTTTGGCTTTTGTTGTTTTTTTGAGTGGAGAACATACATTGGGTTGTTAGGGACATAGTGTCCAAATTTGGTGTCAATTGCCCCAGTGGTTTCTGAGTTCTGATGGTATCACAAATGAACTTTACATTTTTATTTATATAGATTTGCATGTGCATATATATGGTCCAGCGCATAACAGAGTGAATTTTTCAAAATGGGGCTCTTTTGGGGATATGTCATGAGTCTTCAGGGATTGCAAACGGAGGTCTAACTGTAGCCTTTAAGCCCAGTTTCCCCTCTTCTGACTTCAACTCTACCTGCTGGACATTTGCCTGCAGAAGGTCTCCCAAACGCTCCACAAGTTCGGTGAAGGTCGGTCTCTCTGTTGGGACGCCATGCCAACAATCCAGCATAGTCTGGTAGCTGCAAGAAACAAACAGAAAAGTGTGGAAGAGCCCATTTTAAAGCCAAGTTTCCCTTAAAAATACCTGATCACATTGAATAACGAAGCATCAAAAGACATAAATAAACCTCTTTTGCTGAGACCCAGCATCGGGGTTGCGTAGCAACAGTCAACACCAGGATCAAATTAAGATATTACTTCTGGGTGGAATCCTGTTCCTTTTTAATTTTAGATTCCATCAATCCATGCATTAGATTCAGTAGCTTTGCATGGGCAAAAAGACCAAGATGTTCCATAAATCCAAATCTGAGACTTACGTTGATGATAATGGTGATGCCTGAATTTATGTCCTGCTTTTATGTCTTGAGGATTAAAATAGAACTTTGGCTCATATCCAAACAAACTAAGACAGTACTGTCAAAGGCTTTCATGGCTGGAATCACTGGGTTGTGTAGGTTTTTTGGGGGGTATATGGCCATGTTCTAGAAGCATTCTCTCCTGATGTTTCGCCTGCATCTATGGCAAGCATCCTCAGAGGTTGTGAGGTCAAACTGGAATGTGTCCAGATGAGGGCGACTAAAATGATCAAGGGTCTGGAGAACAAGCCCTATGAGGAGCGGCTTAAGGAGCTGGGCATGTTTAGCCTGAAGAAGAGAAGGCTGAGAGGAGACATGATAGCCATATATAAATATGTGAGAGGAAGCCACAGGGAGGAGGAGGGAGCAAGCTTGTTTTCTGCTTCCCTGGAGACTAGGACGCAGAACAATGGCTTCAAACTACAAGAGAGGAGATTCCATCTGAACATGAGGAAGAACTTCCTGACTGTGAGAGCCGTTCAGCAGTGGAACTCTCTGCCCCGGAGTGTGGTGGAGGCTCCTTCTTTGGAAGCTTTTAAACAGAGGCTGGATGGCCATCTGTCAGGGGTGCTTTGAATGCAATATTCCTGCTTCTTGGCAGAATGGGGTTGGACTGGATGGCCCATGAGGTCTCTTCCAACTCTTTGATTCTATGATTCTAGGTGAAACATCAGGAGAGAATGCTTCTGGAACATGGACATATAGCCCGAAAAACCTACAACAACCCAAACTAGTGTTTCTCAAAATGGCGCACAAGTTGTAATTGTGTGAAGGTTCTCCTGGCCACCGCCAACACCTGTGCTTCAAGCATCAGCGCTGAGTCCAGGATGACCCCCAAACTACGGACCTGCGACCCAGTCCAGCACAGGTTGCCACCCAATACCCCGGTCAGACGGGCGACTGACCAGTAGGACCTCTGTCTTGTCAGGATTGATCTTCAGCTAGTTCTTCCTCATCCAGATCAACACAGCGGCTAGGCATTGGTCCAGAATCCTCGGGGCTTCCTTGGAGTCAGGTGGAAATGAGTAGTGGAGTGGGGTGTCATCTGCGTAGAGATGGCAACATACTCCAAAACTCCGGATGACCTCTCCAGCGGTTTCATGTAGATGTTAAAAAGCATGGGGGACAGGAAGAATCCTTGTGGGACCCCATAGGTCAATGGCCAGGGGTCCAAGCAGGAGTCCCCCAGCTTCACCGACTAGGAACAACGCTCCAGGAAGGACCGGAGCCACAGAAGAACCATGCCCCTGAGTCCCATCCCCAGAAGGATACCATGGTCGATGGTATTGAAAGCTGCTTAGATATCCAAGAGAACGAGCAAGGTCACGCTCCCCCTGTCCAGTTCCCTACGGAGGTCATCCACCAAGGCGACCAAAGCCACCACGGTACTGTGCCCAGGCTGAAAGCCAGACTGCGAATGATCTAGAAAATCAGTGTCATCGAGGAATCCCTGGAGCTGTGAGGCAACCACCCGCTCCAGACACTAGAAATCCCATACTTTAATGCCTATACTTCTCTAACTTTTGAAAGGAGCCCCCGGTGGCGCAGTGGGTTAAAGCCCTGTGCCGGCAGGACTGAAGACCGACAGGTTGCAGGTTCGAATCCGGGGAGAGGCGGATGAGCTCCTTCTATCAGCTCCAGCTCCTCATGCAAAGGGGACATGAGAGAAGCCTCCCACAAGGATGATAGAAACATCAAATCATCCGGGCGTCTCCTGGGCAACGTCCTTGCAGGCGGCCAGTTCTCTCACACCAGAAGCGACTTGCAGTTTCTCAAGTCACTCCTGACACAACTAATAATAATAATCTAACTTTTGAAATCAGGGAGAGAGAATCCCGTGAAGTTTGCTCAGTACCATTTGCTGATTTTCGCATATTGTGCAATCGTGTCCGCCATTAACAAAGTGATTCAGAAATTTTGGAAATTTTGGGAAGTCCCGAATTTTTTTTTTGAAAAATTCAGATTTCAATTCTGAATCAAACCACCATCCAAAACTAGTTTTTAACCATTTTTTTTGATCAACCAAGCCTAATGCTTACATTTCTGGAGTCGAATATTCCGGAGACCTCATCCGGGTTCCTTCTTTGAGGCGCCGGCAGAAGTCCTCATCGATCTGCAGCCCTGGATAGGGGGAGGCCCCTGAAAGCAAAATAATCAAAATATTAATGTTGGTTTACTTGTAACAGCAGAATGGATGTAGTCCAAGGAGAACTGCCCAAGTTCACCACAGCAAGAGGAACTGTATTAAGGGGTCGTGGCATTTGGAAGGTTTCCAACCAATTGTCTAGCCTGTTGTTGACCTTTGCAACCCGAAAGACAGTTGCATCTGTCAAGTAGGAAAATTAGGTACCACCTTAAAGTGTGGGGAGGCTAAATGAGCTAATTTATGAGGCCATAAAGAAGACTCCAGCAAAACATTCCAGCGGGGAAGCATGCGGGGAATGCGGAAGTGCTTCATCAGCGTCGCAGATGGACGATGAGAGCGACAGCTCCCCTGGCGGCCAGAAAAAGTTAAATAGCCTCTGTGTATGTCTGTATATGTTTGTATGACAAAAATTGGCATTGAATGTTTGCCATATATGTGTACACTGTAATCTGCCCTGAGTCCCCCGCGGGGTGAGAAGGGCGGAATATAAAAGCTGCAAATAAACAAATAAATAAACCGCCCAAGTTCACCACAACAAGAGGAACTGTATTAAGGGGTCGTGGCATTTGGAAGGTTGAGAAACACTGTTCTAGATGTTCCTGGATAAGAACTCCCCTCGTTCTTTATACCTGGCAGTGCTGGTGAGGGTTGATGGGAATTGCAATCTGAGGATATCTGGTGTTTGCAATTCCCCAGCCTTACTTTAAGAAGTAGAACAAGGTTTTGAGTTTTGTTCCTGACTTCCAAGTGGAAGCAACCTTTCTCTCTTGAGGTTCCCTGGAGAATGGCTGATCTGAATGTTCAAACTTTCCTTTGCCCTGACAGTCACATTAGTCTGGTCGGTTTATTTGTGTGATTTTCTAAGGCTTCCCTGTCATATCCATGGAGCTGTCATTCTCCACAATGGGTTGCCTGTAGGGCCTCTAAAAACATCAAAGGACTTGGGCGTTGCATTGCTTTGCGTCTCACTTACAAAAGGAAAACAGGAGTCATTATTATTATAATAACTTTATTATTATTATTATTATTATTATTATTATTATTATTATTATGGCCAGGAAATTGCTGGAAGAAGCAAAGACCACCAGCATTGAAGCGATGGTACTCCACCATCAACTCCGCTGGACCCGCCACATCTGGATGCCCGACCACTCTCTCCCAAAGCAGTTGCTCTACTCCGAACTCAAGAATGAAAAATGGAATGTTGGAGGACAGGAAAAGAGATTTAAAAATGGGATCAAAGCCAACCTTAAAAACTTCACTTCACTTCACTTCACTTTATTTCTTAATTAGTCATTCTCCACCAAGGTGCTCTGAGTGACTTACAGTCTAAAATAGCATTTACACAATATAAAAAATTAAACATAAAAACATTCAACAGTGACTATTCGGCAAATTAGATCTGATTACTTAAATGCACAACCAAACAGCCAAGTCTTGAGCGCCTTTACAAAAGGTTGCAACTCCGACATTGCTCTAATGTATGGAGGCAATGAGTTCCACAGAACTCATAGGTCGAAAAAGCTCTACTATGCCTTGTAGCTTCCAGGTGTCCCTCCCTAGGGCCCGGTTTGTAGAGGAGATTTTCCTGGGTGGGTCGAGGTGACCACGGATGGAGAAAAGGAATGAGGCGGTCCCTAAGATAGAAAGGTCCTTGGCCACTTTGAGCTCTCAATGTCAGGATCAGGATCTTGTAAGAGATCCGATGTTCTCTTGGTAGCCAATGCAGTTGTTGCAGAATCAGTGTAATATGGGATCTTATAGATGATCCCACTAGCAGCCTGGCTGCCGCATTTTGGACCATCCGAATCTTCTGGGTTGTTGACTTTGGAAGGCCGGCATATAAAGCGTTGCAATAGTCCAACCTCATGGTGACTGTTGCGTGGATTACTGTTGCCAATGCTTTTACCGAAAGGTCGGATGCCCATTTCCTTGCCTGGCAAAGATGAAAAAAGGCCTGTTTACTTATGGCAGTGATTTGGGCCTCCATCGTCAGCGATGAGTCCAACACAACTCCAAGGTTTTTAACAGTGGCAAACGAAACCAGAGCTTCCCCATCAAAATCAGGCCGAGACTGGATTAATTCTGGTGGCTGGCCGGGCCAGAGTATCTCCATTTTTGCAGGATTTCCTTTGAGTCTGCTCGCCCGCAGCCAACTCATCACTGCTTCCAAACACAGCCTAAAGTTCTCAGGAATCGCGGTTGTCCCAGGTTCAAGACGCAAGAGTAGCTGGGTATCATCTGCATACTGGTAGCACTCTCGGCCAAAGCTCCACACCAGTCCAGCAAGTGGCCGGACATAGACGTTAAATAACAGGGGCGAGAGGATGGCACCCTGGGGAACTCACTCCACAGCCAAGGCAGGAGCTCTCAGAGCTTTGGCCTGACCACTCCACCCTCTGTCTCCGGTCCCGGAGGAACGAATTAAACCATTTCAGGGCTAAACCTCCTCGTACACCAGACAGAGCCAATCGATGAATCAGCAAGTCATGGTCCACGGTGTCAAATGCAGCTGTGAGATCCAAGAGTACCAATAGCGCTGATCCGCCTCGGTCTAACTGACGACGAATTTCGTCAGTAATAGCTATCAATACAGTCTCTGTCCCATGACCTGAACGAAAGCCTGATTGAAAGGGGTCCAAACCCCGCAGTCTCATCTAAGAATTGCTGTAGCTGCCCCCCCACTCTCCGTTCAATCACCTTGCCCAGGAACGGAAGGTTTGAAACTGGGCGATAGCTACTAGGTATGGCAGCATCAAGACTTGGTTTTTTCAAGAGAGGGTGGACCATTGCTTCTTTAAGGCAATCTGGAAAAATTCCTTGCTCCAAGGAACTGTTGATGATGCTCCTTAAGGGATCTCATAGTCCCTCCCGGCACTCCTTAACCAACCGGGAGGGGCAGATGGTTGATCTTGCTGCAGCTAGAGTCTTTTCCAGGTCTTCCATTTCTAATGACACAAAATGATCAAGAAATTGGCCACTAATTGGCCAGGAAGTCTCTAGTTCCCTCGAGGTGTCCTCTGTGGGAGGTAGCCCTTCGCGGAGCAGATTGATCTTATTTATGAAGTGGCTCTGGAAAACTCTGGCATAGACACTGAGAACTGGGAAGCTCTGGCCCTTGAGTGCTCTAGCTGGGGGTCAGCTGTGACCAGCAGTGCTGTAGAATTTGAAGAGGCACGAATGGAGGGCAAAAGAGAGAAACGTGCCAAGAGGAAGGCGTGTCAAGCCAACCCCGACCGGGACCGCCTTCCACCTGGAAACCGATGCCCTCACTGTGGGAGAATATGCAGGTCAAGAATAGAGCTTCATAGTCACCTGCGGACCCACCCCCAGGATACTACACTTGGAGGACCATCATCCTCGGACTACGATGGATCACCTAAGTAAGTAAGTGAGTGAGTGAGTGAGTCTCATTTAAAAAAGGAAAACTGGAGTCATTATTATTATTATTATTATTATTATTATTATTATTATTATTACTAGCCGTCCCTTGCCACGCGTTGCTGTGGCCCACATGGGGGTTCTGTGTGGGAGGTTTGGCCCAATTCTCTCGGTGGGGTTCAGAATGCTCTGTGATTGTAGGTGAACTATAAATCCCAGCAACTGCAATTCCCAAATGTCAACGTCTATTTTCCCCCAAATTCCACCAGTGTTCACATCTGGGCATCTTGAGTGTTCGTGCCAAGTTTAGTCCAGATCCATCATTGTTTGAGTCCACAGTGCTCTCTGGATGTAGGTGAACTACAACTCCCAAACTAAGGTCAATGCCCACCAAACCCTTCCAGTATTTTCTGTTGGTCATGGGAGTCCTGTATGCCACATTTGGTTCAATTCCATCATTGGTGGAGTTCAAAATGCTCTTTGATTGTAGGTGAACTATAAATCCCAGCAACTACAACTCCCAATTGACAAAATCAATTTTGGGTTCTTTGGTGTCTTGTGTCCAGATTTGATGTCAATTCGTCCAGTGGTTTTTGAGTTGTGTTAATCCCACAAACGAACATTACATTTTTATTTATATAGATTATTATTGTTATTATGGGCAGGGAATCGTTTAGGAAAGAAAGAAAGAAAGAAAGAAAGAAAGAAAGAAAGAAAGAAAGAAAGAAAGAAAGAAAGAAAGAAAGAAGGAAGCGTATGAATTTGTTGGTAAATGCCTTTGCAATGATGCCGAAAGGTATGTGTGTCGGCACATTTGCAGCACTCCGATAAATAATATTATGAACCTATAGAGCAGTGTTTCTCAACCTTCCTAATGCAGTGACCCCCCTTAATCCAGTTCCTCATGTTGTGGTGACCCCCAACCATAACATTATTTTCGTTGCTACTTCCTAACTGTCATTTTGCTACTGTTATGAATCGTAAGGTAAATATCTGATATGCAGGATGTATTTTCTTTCACTGGACCAAATTTGGCACAAACACTCGATATACCCAAATTTGAATATTGGTGGGGTTGGGGTAGGGATTGTTTTTGTCATTTCGGATTTGTAGTTGCTGGGATTTATAGTTCACCTACAATCAAAGAGCATTCTCAACTCCACCAATGATGGAATTGAACCAAACTTCCTACATAGAACTCCCATGACAAGCAGAAAATACTGGAAGGGTTTGGTGGGCATTGACCTTGAGTTTTGGAGTTGTAGTTCACCATCCAACATCCAGAGAGCACTGTGGACTCAAACAATGATGGCTCTGGACCAAACTTGGCATAACTACTCAATATGCTCAAATGTGAACACTGGTGGAGTTTGGGGAAAATAGACCTTGACATCTGGGAGTTGTAGTTGTAGGGATTTATAGTTCACCTACAATCCAAGAGCATTCTGAACCCCACCAACAATAGATTTGGGCCAAACTTCCCACATAGAACTCCCATGACCAGCAGAAAATACTGGAAGAGTTTGGGAGTTGTGGGTTTTGGAGTTGTAGTTCACCTACATCCAGAGAGCACTGGGTACTCAAAAAACCATAGATCTGTACCAAACTTGGCACACAGACTCAATATGCCCAAATGTGAACACTGGTGGAGTTTTGGGAAGATAGACTTTGACATTTGGGAGTTGTAGTTGCTGGGATTTATAGTTCACCTACAATCCAAGAGCACTCTGAACCACACCAACTGTAGAATTGGGCCAAACTGCCCACATAGAACCCCCAAGACCAACAGAAAATACTGTGTTTTCTGATGGTCTTTGGAGACTCCTCTGACACCCTCTCACAGCCCAAGGTTGAGAAACACTGCTATAGAGTGTTATAGAAATGCTCTCAAATTAGATAAAGACAACGTACGAGGGTTGAATGAAAAGTAATGCCTCCACCTTCGTTACTTGGGTTTGGATGGGAATATTTTAATAAATCAATCGCAGAAATAATCCTTAGAATATAATTGTTAACTACTACTACTATTCACTTTTCCACATAATCATCAGACAATTGGATACATTTCTGCAAACAATGAACAAGCTTTTTGAAGCCATCACAGAAGAAATCAACACTCTGTTTCTGCAACCAGTGTCTCACAGTTCTCTCAACGTCTTCATCAGAAGCATAATAGTGTCCCCACCAATCTTCTTTCACTATCGGGAACAGATGGAAGTCAGACGGTACTAAATATGGACTTTACGGAGGATGTCGTATGGTGTTGAGATCCAGTCTCTGAAGTTTCAAGTCTGTGCGCTTTCATTTCAGGCGTCAGCATCCTCGGTACCCATCGTGCACAGATCTTCTGATAGCCAAGCAAAGCAATAATGTGACCCACACGTTCTTGTGAAATGCCGATTATGCTCAAAATTTCTCTCTGAGTGATACGACAGTCATCCTGAATCAATCTGTCTATTTTTTGCTTGTGAAACTCAGTGGTTGCTGTCACAGGACGTCCAACTCTTTGTTTGTCACGCAAGTCAGATGTTCCCACCTCATCATCTTTAAACTTACTCACCCAACAACACAACCATTCAATACTAAGGCTTCCCACCAAAATGGAACTGTAGAGGAGAGTCTACTGAATAAGCCAGTACCTACTGCATACCAGTACTGCCAACTGTTGAGGAGTTATGAAGGTGGAAGAATTACTTTTCATTACATTTGGGGTGACACCTTCTGCTGTCAAGAATTCAATGACTGCACGTTGCTTAAGTCGCATTGACCAACCGTCTGTGCAGGGTTCCATACTTTGCACTTTAACAACACAATTGTTCAATGCTAAGGCTTCCCGCCAAAATTTATTTTATTTCTCGTGTCAGGGCAGCCAGTCAAATATATTACATTTCTAACAGAACAAAGCAAACAAACAGAGAAAATACAAAATGTGTGAGTTTGGTAGTGGATTAAATGTCCTTTGACCAGTCTCTGGCCCTTTGGAGTGCTTCTGGTGTTGCCACAAGAAGGTCCTCCATGGTGCATGTGGCAGGGCTCAGGGTGCATTGCAGCAGGTGGTCAGTGGTTTGCTCTTCTCCACACTCGCATGTCGAGGATTCCACTTTGTAGGCCCCATTTCTGAAGGTTGGCTCTGCATCCGTGGTGCCAGAGCGCAGTCTGTTCAGCGCCTTCCAAGTCGCCCAGTCCTCTGTGTGCCCAGGGGGGAGTCTCTCATTAGTATCAGCCATTGGTTGAGGTTCTGGGTTTGAGCCTGCCACTTTTGGACTCTCGCTTGCTGAGGTGTTCCAGTGAGTGTCTCTGTAGATCTTAGAAAACTATGTTCTAGATTTAAGTCGTTGACGTGCTGGCTGATACCCAAACAGGGGATGAGCTGGAGATGTCTCTGCCTTGGTCCTTTCACTATTGGCTGCTACTTCCCGGCAGATGTCAGGTGGTGCGATACCGGCTAGACAGTGTAATTTCTCAGTGGTGTAGGGTGCAGACATCCTGTGATAATGCGGCATGTCTCATTAAGAGCCACATCCACTGTTTTAGTGTGGTGAGATGTGTTCCACACTGGGCATGCATACTCAGCAGCAGAGTAGCACAGCGCAAGGGCAGATGTCTTCACTGTATCTGGTTGTGATCCCCAGGTTGTGCCAGTCAGCTTTCGTATGATATTGTTTCTGGCACCCACTTTTTGCTTGATGTTCAGACAATGCTTCTTGTAGGTAAGAGCATGATCCAGAGTGACTCCGAGGTATTTGGGTGCACTGCAATTCTCCTTCCCAGGTGATCTTTAGACCTCGGGATGCTTCTCTGTTCTTGAGATGAAAGGCACATGTCTGTGTTTTAGATGGATTAGGGATCAGCTGGTTTTCCCTGTAATAGGCAGTAAGAGCACCTAGAGCTTCGGAAAGCTTCTGTTCTACCAACTCAAAGCTCCAAAATAGAACTGTAGAGGAAAGTCTGCTGAAAAAGGCAGTACCTGCTGCATACCAGTACTGCCATCTTTTCATTCAACCCTCGTATGATTCCACTATGAGGAAATGTTCACGTTCTAACTGGGACAAGATGGGTTGGTTTTTTTCCAGGAATGTGCTGGATCGTTCCATATCCCGGCCTCAGCACAATTTCCAATGCCCTCATTGTGACGTGGGATGAGAAAGCCCTGCTTCCCTCTCCGTTGTTGGCCTCTGAACGCAGATTGTTCTTCCGAAGAGACGGGGAGCCCATCCAGGCCTGACCTGGGCTTTGGCTCCCTCTCCTTTACGCCTCTTTAATGGAGGAATTGGGGCAGGAAAGGAACCCGCTTCCTGACAAAAGCTTTAGAGATCATTATCGAACGAAAAGGCAAAGGCTCGCTCTTGTTATGGGGCAAACAGGGGCTGCGTCGTCCTGTAATTGCCATTTTATGGAGCTACGCCAGACCGCTGGCTTTGCAAAAGATTGCAGAAAGAAAAGACAAAGAGGATGAAAACCCAGGGATTTTTCATCCTTGGAAAAAAAGACCAAACCAAGCATAGCTGTTTATGATGGGCCTTTGAGTTGGCTCGGATGTACGCGCAGTAAAAAGCCAGACCTTGAAACTGCTAGGCCGTTGAATGCTAATCAAGGTGGCAAATTTTTATCATTGGTAAAAAAAGACTAAACCAAGCATAGCTGTTTATGATGGGCCTTCCAGTTGGCTTGGACGTATGCCCAACCTTACTGAAGCAGTAAGAACCCAGACCTTGAATCTGCTAAGCCACTGAATGCTAATCAAGGTGGCCAATTGCAACATTCACACAAGAGTTCTCTCTCCCACCCTAGACATTCCAGAGATATATAAACCCCATTTTCCTAGTTTCCAACAGACCTCACAACCTCTGAAGATGTCTGTCATAGATGTGGGTGAAATGTCAGGAGAGAATGCTTCTGGAATATGGCCAGGCAGCTCAGAAAATTCACAGCAATGCAGTGATTCTGGCCACAATACAATATTACAGTCCAAGACCTTGTTACTAAGTATGAAGCTTCTTTGAAAAACTGTTACTTGTTTAGCCCAATATGAAAAGAAGCCAGGCTTTGAAGCTGCAAGGCCATTCAATGCTAATCAAGCTGGTCAATTGCAACATTCACAGCTGCCTCAAACAGACAAGAGTTCTTTCTTCCACCAAACATAGCTGTTTATGATGGGCCTTCCAGTTGGTTCGGAGGTACGTCCAACCTAACTGAAGCAGTAAAAAGCCAGATCTTGAAACTGCTAGGTCATTGAATGCTAATCAATGTGGCCAATTGCAATATTCACACCTGCCTCAAACAGACAAGAGTTCTTTCTCCCACCAAACATAGCTGTTTATGATGGGCCTTCCAGTTGGTTCTGACATACGCCCAACCTAACTGAAGCAGTAAAAAGCCAGACCTTGAAACTGCTAGGTCATTGAATGCTAATCAAGGTGGCCAATCGAAATATTCACACTTGCCTCCAACAGACAAGAGTTCTTTCTCCCACCAAACATAGCTGTTTATGATGGCCCTTCCAGTTGGTTCGGAGGTATGCTCAACCTAACTGAAGCATTGTCACAACTTTGAGAATGCCTGCCATAGATGTAGGTGAAATGTCAGGAGAGAATGCTTCTGGAACATAGCCAGATGGCTCAAAAAACTCACAACTACCCAATGATTCTGTCTATGAAAGCATTCGACAATATATCTGAAGGTTTCCTTGGCAAGAGTTCCTTGGAGGTTATTTGCTAGCGCCTTCCTCCGAGGCTGAGAGAGTGTGACCTTCCAGTGGCAAAGAAGCGCAAGCCTTACCTAGAGAAAATATCTCCCACAGCAACACACCAAAGGACCACACGTCGCTCTGGGTTGTGTAAATTTTGTCAAAAATGGCTTCCGGAGCCATCCATTTCAGCGGAAGCCTTGCCTGCAAATAAGAAGAAGACAGAATTCGTGTTAAGAATGATTTGCAATCTAGTCTTTCTGCTGCTCCAGAAGCTAGAACATGCATTAAGGGATTCAAATGACAAGAAAAGAGATTATGTCTAAATGTGAGGTTAGAGCTACTCGACAGTCACATCAAGTGCCTTGCAAGATGGTGAGTGTTTTGTCTTTAAGCAGAGGTTGCAGGAATGCTTTTGTCGTATATTTTCAAATGGCAGGCGGTTGGACTAGATGACCCTTGTGGTCCCTTCCGACTCTATATATAGAGTATTTGCAAATCCTATATAGGTATAATTGTCTATATATAGAGAGATGTCTAGATAGATATATGTGAATTTCTTTAATGCCACTGTGGCACATTTGTCTAGGCCAGTGATGGGCAACCTTTTGAGCGTGGTGTGTGGTAATTCGCCAAAAAACTGAGCATAATTCAGGTGGTGTGTCACTTCAAGAAAAAAACCATAATTTCGCAATATTTAGTTTAAATAACAAAAAATATATAATTCTAATTCCCACTTTCTCTCTTATCGTGTTGTTCTACCTCTCTTTATGTAAATAATATCCTTTTTGGAGTGTTTAATAAAAAATATAATTTTTAAAACCCAACAAAATATTATTTATTGTTAATTTAATTTAAATGTATTTCTAGCATTTAATATGCTATTTAATGTATTTCTAATAATAATAATAATAATAATAATAATGCAATAACAATAAAGTAGCATTGCAAAATAATATTTTGATATTTAATTTACCATTTCATTTAAGGCATATATATATATATATAAAGGCATATATTAAAAATATTAAAATGCATTAAATTAAAATGCATTAAATTAAATGTCAAATTAAAATTCAGTTTACCATTTCATTTAAGGCATTCTGAAATATTTGAGTAATATAGCAAAGTATTATTTCTCATTTAATTTAATTTAAATATGTAACACCTTAATATTTAGGAAACAATGCAAAATAATATCCGTTTACTTAATAATTAAATAAACCAATATTATTTTGCAATGTTACCTAAATATTAATAATAATTAAATATTTTTAAATTTGACATTTAATTTAATGCATTTTAATATTTGAATAATATAGCAAAGTAATAGTATTTATCATTCAGTTTCAATATGAAACTCCTTAATTAGGTAACACTGCAAAATAATAATTTCTTTCCTATTTATTTTTTAAAATGGCATAAAATAAATAAACAAATAATATCCGGCGGGCGTGTGTCAGTAGAAATGGCTACGCGTGTCAGTACTGATACGCGTGTCATAGGTTCGCCATCACGGGTCTAGGCCAAACTCCATACGAATATCAGTGCTGAAGATTCTGACTGTGTTGGTCAGTGACTGGATTTCTGTTTCTGATTTTCCATAAAGCTTTAGATCATCCATGTACAGCAAGTGGGAATTCTTTGGTGAATTTCTTGCTGTTTGGTAGCCCAGGTTTGTTTTCTGTAGAATTACTGACAGAGGGATCATTGCAATGATGAACAGCAGTGGTGACAGTGAGTCGCCCTGGAAAAATCCTATTATTATTATTATTATTATTATTATTATTATTATTATTATTAGCTGTACCCGCCACGCATTGCTGTGGTCAAACTTCCCTCCCTCTTTCTTTCTTTCCTTATTTATTTATTTCTGCATTTGTTGACCGCCGCTCTCAGCCCTGGGGCGACTCGCGGCGGTGTACAACATATTAAAAACAGTTTACAAAAAGCACACAATACATCAGCATAACCATATTACACATTAATCTAAATCACACTAATTAATCCGCACCGTCACAAACATAGAATCATAACCAGTCTCAAAATCCATATTCCGTTCCCGTTGTCATTACCCGTTAATGTAGCACTCAATTAAATGCCTTCTCGAATAGCCAGGTCTTTAGGCTCTTACGGAAAGCCATAAGGGAGGGCGCCTGTCTGATGTCAACAGGGAGGGTGTTCCACAGCCGGGGGGCCACCACCGAGAAGGCCCTCTCTCGTCCCCGCCAGACGTGCCTGTGAGGCAGGCGGGATCGAGAGAAGGGCCTCCCCAGATGATCTCAAGGCCCTCGTGGGCTCATAGGCCGAGATGCGGTCCGAAAGGTATTTTGGGCCGGAACCGTTTAGGGCTTTGTAGGATAACACCAGCACCTTAAATTGGGCCCGGTAGCAAATCGGCAGCCAGTGGAGCTGGGACAACAAGGGCGTTGTGTGCTCCCTGCGTCCCGCTCCCGTTAGTAACATGGCTGCCGCGCGCTGGACTAGCTGAAGCTTCCGGGCCGTCTTCAAGGGCAGCCCCACGTAGAGAGCGTTGCAGTAGTCAAGACGGGATGTGACCAGAGCGTGTACCACTGGCCAAGTCAGACTTCCCAAGGTACGGGCGCAGCTGGCACACCAGCCTAAGCTGTGCAAATGCTCCCCTGGTCACCGCTGAAACCTGGGGATCCAGGCTCAAAGATGAATCCAGGGTCACACCCAAGCTGCGAACCTGCGCCTTCAAGGGGAGTGCGACCCCATCCAGCACAGGCTGTAACCCTATACCCTGTTCGGCCTTGCGACTGACCAGGAGTACCTCTGTCTTGTCTGGATTTAATTTCAATTTGTTCGCCCTCATCCAGACCATTACAGCGGCCAGGCACCGGTTCAGGACCTCGACAGCCTCCTTAGTAGCAGGTGGGAAGGAGTGACAGAGTTGGACATCATCTGCGTACAGATGACACCACACCCCGAAACTCCGATTTTTTCCTTCCTTCCCTCTTTCCTTCCTTTCCTCTATTTCTTTCCCTTCCTATTTCTCTTCTTTCTTCCATCTCTACCTGTTTCTTTCCCCCCCTTCTTTGCTCTTTGGTTGCATCCTTCCTTCTCTCCTTACTTCCTTCCCTGTCTTTTGTTCCTTCTCTCCTTCTTTCTCTCACTTTTTCCTTTCACTTTTTTATTTCCTTCTCTCCTTCCTTGCTTCTCTATCTTTCTTTCATTCCTTTCTTCTTTCCCTCCCTCCTTGTCTCCTTCCTTCCTTCCCCCTTTCCCTCCTTCATTCCTTCCCTCTTTCCCTCGTTACTTCTTGACTGTCCCTTCCATTTAATTTGTATTATATAGTAATATATATATATATATATATATATATATATATATATATACATATATATAATAGTTGGGTAACCACGGAAAAATTTGGTTCTAAACTCGTTTTGTTTTTAGGGGGCCCTTGCGTTTCGTTTTTTTTTATAATTCCGAAATTTTTCTTTTAAAAATTTCGAAAAATTTCGTATAATTACGAATCGATTCGTTAATGGCGGACGCGATTGCGCAATATGCTAAAAAAACCTCCAAATGGGACAGGGGGAACTTCTGAAGCTTCCCTCTCCCTCTGTTGTTGACTGTTGGTGTGATAAAACAAACAACAACTATATTATATTATATTATTATAATATTATTATATTATATTGTTGTATATTATATTATAATATTATTATATTATATTATTGTATATTATATTACATTATTATATATTATATTATATTATTATAATATTATAATATTATATATTATTATTATATTATATATTATTATTATAATATTATTATATTATATTATAATTGTATTGTATTATATTATATACTAGCTGTACCTGGCAACGCATTCCTGTGGCATAGAGTGAGGGTATGAAAAATAAAGTAATGAGAAATTTTGGGCAAGAAGGATGCCAGGAGAAAGAGGAGGGAGGGGGGAATGTGGGATTTGCCAGCTGGAAGGAAGGAAGGAAGGAAGAAGGAAGGAAGGAAGGAAGGAAGGAAGGAAGGAAGGAAGGAAGGAAGGAAGAGAAGGAAGGAAGGAAGGAAGGAAGGAAGGAAGGAAGGAAAGAAGGAAGGAAGGAAGGAAGGAAGAAGGAAAGAAGGAAGGAAGGAAGGAAGGAAAGAAGGAAGGAAGGAAGGAAGGAAAGAAGGAAGGAAGGAAGGAAAGAAGGAAGGAAGGAAGGAAGGAAGGAAAGAAGGAAGGAAAGAAAGAAAGAAAGAAGGAAGGAAGGAAGGAAGGAAAGAAGGAAGGAAAGAAGGAAGGAAGGAAGGAAGGAAGGAAGGAAGGAAAGAAGGAAGGAAGGAAGGAAGGAAGGAAAGAAGGAAGGAAAGAAGGAAGGAAGGAAGGAAGGAAGGAAGGAAGGAAGGAAGGAAGGAAGGAAGCCCAGTGCAGCCCAGAGTGAGGCAAGAAGAAGCATGAGGAAAGAGGAGGGAAGCAGCAGAGCAAAGGGACCGGAAGTGGGGTAAATGCGAGATTGTAAAACTTGCACCAGACATACGAAAATAATTACGAAATAATTACGAAATAATTACGAAAATTGGAAAAATTGTTTCGATTCTTAATTACTCCTCACACTATTCCTGCATGGCTCAATATTGGATCGTAAGCTAATTTAAATACGAATTAATAACGAATAACGAAATTAACAAACTGGATCGCCCAAGCCTTATACAATATTTTATATATTGTTATATAGATTACTATATAATATGTTACTATAATACAATATTATATATATATATATATATATATATATATATATATATATATATAATTTATATAGTAACATATTATATAGTAATCTATATAACAATATATAAAATATTGTATTTATATCTTACATAGAAAGAAGGAAAAGGAAGAAGGAACGAGAGAAAGAAGGGAAGGAAAAGAAAGAAGGTAGGAAAGGAAGGAGAAAGAAGGAGGGAAAGGAAGGAGGGGGTGAAGAAAGGAGGGAGGGAAGGAAATGAAGGGGAAGGAAATGAAGAAAGAAAAAGAAGGAGGAAAGGAAGGGAGGGAGGAAGGAAAAGAAGGAAAGGAAGGAAAGGAAGAAGAAAGAAGGGACAGGAAGGAAGGGAAGGAGGGAAAGAAGGAAAGGAAGGAGAAGGAAGGAGGAGGGGAGGAAAGGAAGGGGAAGGAAGGAAGAAAAAGGAAAGAAAGGGAGGGAGGAAAGAAGGGAAGGGAGTCCTTTCGGGTGGAGTGTGGCAGAGGCAGCTACCTCCTCTGTGTGTGTGTGTGTGTGTGTGTGTGTGTTAAATGTGTGCTCGTGTTGCCAGAGACAGGCAAGCAGGTCAGACAGAAAGGAAAGAGTTAAAAAAGAAAGAAGGGTCTACAGAAAGTCCGTCCCCCACCCGCCGGCCTCTTCCAACAGGGAAAGGAGGAGAAGGAGGAGACCGCCCTCCTGGCAGAGCAGGGAAAGAGAAGAGGCTCCATGTGGCAAGCCTCCCCCTCCACTCCCATGGGGCCCACTCTCACGTGTGTGTGGGGGGGGGCATACACGCGTGCATGGCTCCTCATGCTTTAACGGTTGTTTCCCCACGAGGAGGAGGAGGGGGCATGGCCATGGGTCTCTTTGTAAACATGCAGTTTCTCCTTTGTGGACATGCAGTTCAGAAGTGCTTTCTGCTTTTTGTTTTCGTGGGTTTTTTGAGTGGAGAACATACATTGGGTTGTTAGGTCTATCGTGTCCAAATTTGGTGCCAATTCATCCAGGGGTTTTTGAGTTCTCTGAATACCACAAACGAACATTACATTTTTATGTATATAGATTATTATTATTATTATTATTATTTTGTTGATATTATATTGTTTTTGTTGACCCTTTTCTACTTAGAATCATAGAATCATAGAATCAAAGAGTTGGAAGAGACCTCCTGGGCCATCCAGTCCAACCCCATTCTGCCAAGAAGCAGGAATATTGCATTCAAATCACCCCTGACAGATGGCCATCCAGCCTCTGTTTAAAAGCTTCCAAAGAAGGAGCCTCCACCACACAGAGAGTTCCACTGCTGAACGGCTCTCACAGTCAGGAAGTTCTTCCTCATGTTCAGATGGAATCTCCTTTCTTGTAGTTTGAAGCCATTGTTCCGTTTCCTAGTCTCCAGGGAAGCAGAAAACTAGCTTGCTCCCTCCTCCCTGTGGCTTCCTCTCACATATTTATACATGGCTATCATGTCTCCTCTCAGCCTTCTCTTCTTCAGGCTAAACATGCCCAGCTCCTTAAGCCGCTCCTCATAGGGCTTGTTCTCCGGACCCTTGATCATTTTAGTCGGCCTCCTCAGGACACATTCCAGCTTGTCAATATCTCTCTTGAATTGTGGTGCCCAGAATTCGACACAATATTCCAGGTGTGGTCTAACCAAAGCGGAATAGAGCATGGGGAGCATGACTTCCCTAGATCTAGACACTAGGCTCCTCTTGATGCAGGACAAAATCCCATTGGCTTTTTTTGTCGCCACATCACATTGTTGGCTCATGTTTAACTTGTTGTCCACGAGGACTCCAAGATCTTTTTCACACGTACTGCTCTCAAGCCAGGCATTGTCCCCCATTCTGTATCTTTGCATTTCGTTTTTCCTGCCAAAGTGGAGCAAAGAGGTAGTTAAAGAGCTAGTTAACTGTTTGTTTTTTTTTTAAAAAAAATTGGTATCTATTTTTATTTTGAAATTGCTGCATTTCTCACCTTTCGCTTATACTTGAGTCAATACATTTTCCCAGCTTTTTGTCGTAAAATTAGGTGCCTTGGCTTATATTCGGGTCGGCTTATACGCGAGTATATATGGTAATTCAAAACGAAGCTTTGCACACCCCTAATGGCCACCTTCCTTAGAGTCATGTAAAGAATCTAGGGCACATTCACCATTCCTAAAGTTTAGGAATGACACCCAGTAGACTTCATGTTTGCAATGCAAGAAAGCCACATAGCCATTCCACTCACGTCGCCTTTCCGCACATAGTCGGGATCTTTGTAAATATCCCTCGCGAGGCCAAAGTCACAGATCTTCACCACGTTGTTTTCGGAGAGCAGAATATTCCTGGCTGCCAGGTCCCTGTGGATGCACTGGAGGAGACAGCAAGAGAGATGGGCAAATGGTGAGCGTTCTTGTTGTGTGCCCTCAAGTCATTCCTGAGTCATGGCAACCCCAAGGAGACCTTGCAGTGGGATTTTTCTTCAGTGGAGGCCTGCCATCGCCACCTTTGAAGGAAACGACTTGCCCAAAGTCAGCCAATGGGTCTCCACGGATGAAAAAGTATTTGAACCTCCACTGAGTTTTTCTCCAAGAATCAAACCATTAACCACCTTGGTTCTATGATAGAATCAAAGAATCAAAGAGTTGGAAGAGACCTCATGGGCCATCCAGTCCAACCCCATTCTGCCAAGAAGCAGGAATATTGCATTCAAATCACCCCTGACAGATGGCCATCCAGCCTCTGCTTAAAAGCTTCCAAAGAAGGCGCCTCCACCACACTCCGGGGCAGAGAGTTCCACTGCTGAACGGCTCTCACAGTCAGGAAGTTCTTCCTAATGTTCAGATGGAATCTCCTCTCTTGTAGTTTGAAGCCATTGTTCCGCGTCCTAGTCTCCAAGGAAGCAGAAAACAAGCTTGCTCCCTCCTCCTCCCTGTGGCTTCCTCTCACATATTTATACATGGCTATCATATCTCCTCTCAGCCTTCTCTTCTTCAGGCTAAACATGCCCAGTTCCCTAAGCCGCTCCTCATAGGGCTTGTTCTCCAGACCCTTGATCCACAAAGGATAGCAGGTAATATTATCTAATGAGGTGGAAATGCTGCTGAAAGCCAACCACACAATTGCGCTGGAGGCCTAGAGAGATCACCAGTACAATTCTATGGAAATCCCAAAACAAAATTCATTTTTAGAAAGCCCAGGTTCTAGATTGGGCAATAAACTGGGTTCTAGACTAAACAGGTACCGGGTTCTAGGTAAGACAACCCCAGGTTCCATGTTAGGTAGAATCAGGTTCTAGACCAGACAGCGCTGGGTTCCAGCGTATGCGAATTTGGTTCTGGGTTAGGCAACCTAGGTTCTAGAATAGGTGAGCCTGGTTCTAGCTCTTGCAGAGTTGGGTTTCAGGTTATGCATATGCTGGAGGCCTAGAGAGATCACTTCTCTATGCTTCGCTAGGTCCTCCAGTACAATTCTATGGAAATCCCAAAACAAAATTCATTTTTAGAAAACCCAGGTTCTAGATTGGGCAATAAACTGGGTTCTAGACTAGAGATGCCAGGTTCTAGGTAAGACATATCCTGGTTCAGTGTTAGGTAACATCAGGTTCTAGACTGGGCAGTGCTGGGTTCCAGCGTATGCGAATTTGGTTCTGGGTTGGGCAACCTAGGTTCTAGAATAGGTGAGCATGGTTCTAGGTCTTGCAGAGTTGGGTTTCAGATTGTGCCTGCTTGGTTCTGGATTGGGTTAGCTGGGTTCTAGAATAGGTAAATTGGGTTCTAGATCGTGCAGAAACTTATTGCGTGAAGGATCCTGGAATTGATCCCTCCCATAATAAATAACCCTTGTTATTCTTGTTTCATGACCATTCTAGATAGCTAATTGACTCATCTCCTTTATTTCCTCTTGTGTTTTAGTTTGTACACCACCACTCCACCCCTTTCTAGCACCCTGAGTTTGTAAAGGTTGCAGAAAAACCTACTTTTCTTGAGGCCAAAAACTCCATGCCTTTGGCCACCTGGAAGCTGTAGCAGATGAGGTCTTCCAAGGTCAAGGGCCGCTTGTAGAGATCTTCGGCATCTAGAAGGGAGCAAGCGGTTGAATGAACCAAACCCAAGGCCCACAAAACAGCTGTGGAACAATGTGTTGTTAAAGGCTTTCATGGCTGGAATTACTGGGTTGCTGTGAGTGTTCTGGGCTGTATGGCCATGTTCCAGAACAACAACAAAACTTTATTTATATACCACTCTATCTCCCTGAGGGGACAGAAGCATTTTCTCCTGACGTTTCATCTACATCTATGAAAGGCATCCTCAGAGGTTGAGGGGGGCAAGGCATATTTATCTGTGGAAGGCCCAGGGTGGGAGAAAGAACTCGTGTCTGTTGGAGGCAAATGTGAATATTGTAATTAATTACCTTAGATTAGCATTTAACGGCCTTGCAGCTTCAAAGCCTGGCTGATTCCTGCCTAGATTCTTTAGTTGTAGCTAGTCCTGATTGTTTCATGTCTGTTTTCAGAGTGTTTTTCTGTTGGAAACTAGGCAAGTGAGGTTTATATATCTATGAAACGATGTCCAGGGCGGGAGAAAGAACTCTTGTCTGTTGGAGACAAGTGGGAATGTTGTAATTAATCACGCTGATTTGCATTAAATGGCCTTGCAGCTTCAAAGCCTGGCCGACTCCTGGCTGGGGGAATCCTTTGTTGTTTTTGATTTACTTAGAGTTCTTTCTCCCACTTTGGATGTTCCACAGATATATAAATCCCACTTGCCTAGTTTCCAACAGACCTCACAAGCTCTAAGGACGCCTGTCATAGATGTTGGTGAAACATCAGGAGAGAATGTCTCTGGAACATGGCCAGACAGCCCGGAGAACTCACAAAAACCCAGTGATCTCGGCCATGAAAGTCTTTGACAATATAATTGTACAGGAGTTGATTATAAATTGTATGATTTTAACTGTATTTGTGTTTAGATTGGCTGCAGTAATGCTGGAGCGGCCTAAGTCAGAGGAGTCCTTCATGTGCGTTGCCATGGAGACCGATGCAGGAGAGAGGGAAGTGGGAGGAGCTTAGAGGGGAGAGTTTGAAAAAACGACAGTTAAAAATCAGTTAGGGTTTAGGTTTAGAGAAGTGAGCAGTCAGGAGTTAGGTTCAGAGGAGTCAGGAGTTAGGTTCAGAGAAGTGAGGAGTGAGGAGTTGGGAGAGAAGGAAAGGAAAGGTGGCGGAATGACTTGTGAAGCAAAGCTTTGAGGTTTTGAAAAGCTGGGTTTGGCTATTGGAAGTTTCTCAGGCTAGTGCAGCCGAATGGTGAAACATAGCTGGAATTCTTTTAGCCTAAGGAGAGGCTAAAGAATAGTTTACTTAGTATTTGATCTAGGGAGGATCAACTAAGGGAAACATCCCTGTATGGAAACTTTGTCTGAAACAAGTGCTCTACGTCAGAAAGATACTGTGTTACTTGAAAGAATGAACTGTTAAAGTTACAAGTATTATTCCAAGTGCAACAAGGAAAAGTTGCGTCTTGCAACCACACGCTGTGTACTTAATAACATTGTTAACTTTTATCTGAAGATTGCCTCAGCTCCATCTATTCTGTGTCCAAAGTACCATTTCTCACAATATTACAGCTTACCTCACGTGGTGGCAGAAATGCAGGGAAAAGTAACCAAATAAATCTACATTCTTCTCTCTAGTCACGCTACAGTATATACAGTGTAATTACTACTAAGTTATTACTTTCTTAATAAAGGAGGAGGTGCAATTGAACAGCCTCCCTTCCAACTTGATGGTAAATTTGGTTCCTAATCGGCAACCTCCATTGCAAATTGGCCAGTTCTTTTTAAAATTGGGAACTGGGGTAAAATCTCCTGAATACTGGTTCCTTTCAAATTGGTGGCAACAATAAATCATCCCTCCGCTCCCTTGCTTCTTTTCATAATGTTTCAAAAGTCATTACAAAATTAGGGGGGCCCGGCATTTTGTTTCGAAAGTGTTTCTAAGGTAGTGAAAATTTCGTTTCTATAAAGAAAGTGACAAAATTTCGTTACCTTTTCGTTGTAGTAATTGCGCAAGTGGGAAAACTTCAGGGGCTCCTTTCTCCCTTGTTTTTACAGCTATTGGGGTGAAACTTGCAACAATGGTAGAACCCATCAAGTTTCAGAATGTGTCACTTATACACGGATTTTTGGGGAACTTCCAAAGTTTTTATAAACAATGTTTCAAGAAAACTACAAGAGCGATCACCTTGAATTTTCCATACAATGGCACCACCAAGTGGGTCCCATCCCTTGGTTCCATCAAAAGAACCCACAAAAAGTGGTGGAATGAAAGGAGGCTCTCTCCTGAGGACCCTAAAGCCCAGGTAGGTTCATATAGTGAGATGTTTCACATGCCACATTGTGGAGGGTTTTATGACCGACCTTTCCTTGAACCAAGGAAGGAGAGCTAGCTCTCTAAACTCTGTAAAGACCAAGGGTGACATTCAGTTACCTTCCTCTTCCTCTTCGGAGTCAGTGTAACTCTTGTCTTCGATGAATCCAGAGCTGGCAGAACTTCCGGTGCTGGCCACACTTTCCAAACGCCTCTTGATCAACTCAGTTAAATCATTGATTGATTCTTCCAGACCTTTTTCCGCAGGGTCTGAATTTTCCTGTGGCTGGAAGAAAATAAATAAATACACCTCTGAAAACTGGTCTTTTCTGCCCTGCATGTGTGAGGGGCATAAGGATATGGGTAGTCAGGTAGTCCATGTGCTGGTTACATCTCATATAGACTACTGTAACTTGCTCTACGTGGGGTTGCCTTTGAAGACTGTTTGGAAGCTTCAACTAGTGTGGCAGCCAGATTGCTAACAGGAGCAGTGTATGGAGAGCACACAACCCCCCTGTTGTGCCAGCGCCACTGGGTGCCCATTTGCTACCAAGCACAATTCAAAGTGCTGACTTTGGCCTACACATACTTACTTACTTAGGTGATCCCTCGTTGTCTGAGTAGGATAGTCTTCCAAGGTCAGTGTACTGTGGGTCCGTAGGTGACTGTGGAGCCCAATTCTTGAACTTCTCCCACAGTGAGTACATTGGTTTCCAGGTGGAAGCCAGTCTCGGTTGGGGTTAGTTTGATGCGCCTTCCTCTTGGTACATTTCTCTCTTTTGCCCTCCATTCGTGCCTCTTCAAATTCTACAGCACTGCTGGTCACAGCTGACCTCCAGCTGAAGTGCTCAAGGGCCAGGGCTTCCCAGTTCTCTGTGTCTATGCCAGAGCTTTTAAGGTTGGCTTTGAGCCCATCTTTAAATTTCTTTTCCTGTCCACCAACATTCCATTTTCCGTTCTTGAGTGCCTGGTAGCAAACCGGCAGCCAGTGGGGCAGGCGTAACATGGGAGTTGTGTGCTCCCTGTATGCCGCCCCAGTTATTAACCTGGCTGCCTCTTGTTGGACTATTTGAAGCTTCTGAGCAGTCTTCAAAGGCAACCCCATGTAGAGTGTGTTGCTGTAGTCTATCCTAGAGGTAACGAGAGCGTGGATCACTGTGGCCAAGTCTGACTTCCCAAGGTACGGGAGCAGCTGGCACACATCTCTCCCTACGAACCCCACAGGAACCTAAGATCGTCTGGGGAGGCCCTGTTCTG